CAAAACATGAGTTTTGGCTCTAAAAGAGCTGATATGAAAACTCAATAGACACGAAATCAAAGAGCTACTAAAACCACATAAATTAAAAGTTTGTCGTTCTGTATCCAACTGCAGAGATGCGTTGTGCAGCGGGTCTAGCTCATCCTACAGGGCCGGTCCAATGTTGAATGAGGCCTTAAGGAGAATTTGATTTAGGGGCCCCTCTTCTGCTAAGAACATCAGCACCAATAACAGCATTCCATCATGGACTTAGTGAAATCTGGGAGAGGGAGCCTAGTTTAATTGGCTGAGGAGTCAAATGTAATTGTAGTTTACTAAGATGCATCAATGCTGCTAAAACTCAAGGATTAAACTCATGGCATCAGATTGTTGCTACAGTAACAAAACAATCTAACTATGAAGATTGTTCTTTCAACTTTTACAAAGTAAACTTGCCAGCTCCTTAAATTCTTAAATTTAAATGTTAAACAATTTATAATCTTTTAATTTATGTATGCTGAAACCATTAAATCAAATTTAGCAGCATTGATAATCTCTTAGTTCATTTATGCCTTGGACCGGCTTGAAATGTGATCAGCATTACATTGTGTTTTTAGATCCACAAACTGGTGACTTAATTTGGATTTACAGAAGTGCAAATAATTGATATTTATTTTAATTGTATTTTTTTTTATTTGTTGTTTTTAAGATTCTAGTGAGTTTAAGTACTGTCAGCAATGTCTTCCAGTAACATAATTGCCCAGTAATATTTTACATTTATTTTTAATACAAAACCCCGGTGGACTGCCTCGGCGCCCTGACCACCGGGCTTAGCATGTTTTCTAGGGGAAACTGTGCTATAATTTGGCAAACTCTTTAAGAATGATTTCCAGGGGCGGATCTACTGGGATGGCATGGGGTGGCAGTTGCCACCCCAAACGAGAGCCTTGCCACCCCTGTTGCCACCCCAGCTAGCGACAATGAATTCAATAAATAGTTATGGCAAATCGGACATTAAGCGCATGAAACTCTTTTTTCCGACAACATTGAATGCAACACAATGTAACCTGACACCCACTGCTAAGTAGCGGGAAGTGCGAGAGAAGGACAGAGCGCCAGCAGCATTGATGGATATATTATTGGACTGG